ACTGTCAGCGACATATCATATTTCAGACGCAGGATGAGGAAACACATGGGCTATCCTGATAACATCCATACCCATTGCATTTTATCATTTTAAATATGTGGAGTGGAAGCTTGTGATTACTAAAATTAATTTTCCTGTTTATTTTCCTTTTTAAAAATATAACCTTTAGCGAAAGTGCATATGCCTTTCTCATTTATGCCTACATTGTGTTTTGGTTGAACAGCAGTGTTATGGGCATTTAATAGATGGCACTGATTCTCTGCCCCGAATAGGTTTCTTGCCTTGTTTTGGTTAAATTTTGAATAGGCAATACATAGTACCACACATAATTCAGAAATTTCTATGAAACTTTTCATTGACTGGTACAACAAATGACCACAACTTAGTGTCTCAAAGAAATACAGATTTATTCTCTTGGCTCTAGAAAGTGAGAAATCCAAATTTAATTGCATGGGCTGTTTCTTTCAAAGGGTCTAGGATGGAATTCATTTTCCTTATTGCTTTCCACATTTGAGAGCTGATTGCCTTCCTTAATTTTTGGCTCCCTTACATCTATAAGGCCATGAGTGACCAATCAAATTATTCTGAGTCCTCTTTGAGCTTTCTACTTTAAAAAAAAAAAACAACTTAAAACAGCTTTGCTAATATATAATTCCAACAACACACAGTTTACCTATTTAAACATAGAGACAAATGCCTTTTAATATACTTTCTAGATGTCTCTTTGACTTATAATGGAACTATAACCCAATAGTTCATCACATATTGAAAATATCATGAGTGAGAAATGTATTAGAGCACATGCCTGGGGCTGGAGAGATGGCTCCGTGGTTAAAAGCATTGGATGTTCTTCCAGAGGACCTGGGTTAGAATCCCAGCACCCACATGGTAGTTAACAACCATCTAAACTCCAGGTCCCTCGGATCCAGCGCCCTCCTCTGGCCTCCATGAGTACTCCATTCACTTGGTGCACATGTACACAGGCTGGTAAAACACCCATACCTAAAAAAAGAATAAATACAATTTTTTAAATTAAGATTTTAAAAATCACTAGTCTACTGAACATCACTACGGAGCTGACTCCATAATGGTGTCTGTGACTGTTCCCCTAGTGTTTGCAGATCCAACCAGTGGCTTTGGCTTCCTGGCATTACATCTATCAGGAGAGAACATCATACTCTGTATTGTTAGCTTGAGAAAGGATCCAAAGCAGAAGTTAAAGCTCAGCTCCTATGGAGTGCATGCCACTTTCACATTACCATGAAGTCAAAATAGTGTAAGTTAGGAACTTCTCAGCCGGGAGGTTTGATTTGCAGGACTCTGAATTCACCACCACAGCCCAGTCCAGGACGTTTTCGTTACCCCTAGAGAAGTCCTGTACACCTCGTCATTTATCCCCCTCCTCAGGTCCCACATCACTCCCACTTTGGACACCATGAATCTTCTTTCTGTTTCTGTGCAGTGACCTATTATAAATACCCTGTAGACACAGAGCCATGGGATGTGTTATTCCTTAAGGCTTGCTTCTTTCACTCAGCATGTTGTTGTTGGTCCGGGTTATGCCATGTTTCAGGGTTCTGCTTTCTTCAGTTGCCTGGTAATGTTCTATAGTATTTCCCCTTCTAATTTGAGACCCATGTGATTGGACCACCCACAATTCAAGAAAATCTCCCTGGCTTCAGGTCAGCTGTCAGACAACCTTAATTCTACCTGGAATCCGTGTGTCCACCACACTCACAAGTTCTATGGGTTGGAATGAAATGTCTTTGCAAGGAGGAGGTGCGTACGTATTTCTGTCCCTGAGAGTGCCTAGCTCCAGGCACTGCAACTCCAAGCAGAACACAAATACTCCTCTACCTGGAGACAACACTTCTACAGTGTCTTGTGAGTTTATGAGATATTCTATGCACATAGAAATACACACACACGCATGCATGCACACACACACTCATGCATAGACATACTTTATAAAAAAATGTCCATAGCTGCATTAATTGGTTTATTTCACTTTCTTCAGTTTTCCTAAACTCTCCAATCTGTTTTGGAGATCGTGTTAGTTTCTTACGAATGCTGTAACTGATAACTACAATGGTTGCTTCAAGTCACAGCTAGATAGTCACTTACAGATCTGGAGAGCAGAGGGACAGAATCAAGGTGTCACGGGTTGGTCATCTTCCTTGAGTTCCAGGGAACTGGCTCTTCCAGCTTCTAGTGGCTCTAAGCAGGCCTTAGCTTTCAGTATATCAGTTCAGACTCAATTCCTGCTTTTGTGTGGCCTCTATCTCTTACAATGACATTTGTCATTGGATTTAGCACCCACGCTGACGTTGGGAGTTCTGTTATGATTTTTGTGTATGATGCCTTCTCATTTAAGCTCATCTCATGACAAGCCCCATACGGTCACATTCCCAGGTCCTGTTATTAGGACAGAAGTACGTCTTTTTAGAGGGCTCTTCCCACCATTTCAGAGCCATTCTAAAGCAACAGGGAATAACTGCACTTTTTGAAACAGCCGTGTAGTGTTTTATAGTAAGAATACATTATACTTAAATATCTCACCATTAGATCATGCGGAAACAGACATTGAAACTAGCGGGATATATTTGATGCATTTGTACGTTTTCTTTGGAATCGCTTGTCAAAATATTCTTCAGGGGCCTACAAGGTTTTGTGAAATTGTACCCTTTAAGGAAAAGGAAAGGGCATAGTTAGTCGGACACGGGGGTGGGAGTGCAAGGGCACCCAAGGGAGGCCTTTGGAGGGCCTGCTGTTGTGGAAATCTCTCCAGAAGGGAGGTGCTATGTCCGAGCTTCTCTCACCTCGTCAGGACCCTGCTCAGATTTGAGACATAGCTTCAGGACACTCTCTGACCAGAGCATAGGCTGGGTCCCTTGTCGGCTCTTTCTCATCGTTCTTTAACCTTGTCAGGGGACATGGACGTTAAGTTTGCTTAGATTTGAGGCGATACATACAGATTGTTGGGGGATTTTTGAAGAAAGACTTACAGACAGCCAGGTGTGTCTGCATTTAAGAATAGCCTCTTCTCTCAGGGAAGGGCAAATGTCCCCAAACCTGTTCCTGGTTGAAGCTCGTACCTTGTCCAGAATGGCAGGCGTCCTGTGTGATCTCCACCCGGCTGTAACTGGGAGGAACATTTCCCCCATGAAAGGCCACATTTGTCCGGGTCCCTGTCCACACGGGGCTTCCCAGCCTGCTTTCTGCCTATTTAATGGACACCTGCCCCAGTCGTCCTACTGAGAATCTTACATTAAGGTGAATAGTTGCTCAGTTGGTTTCCTCTTCCCGTTCCCTGCAGGACACACACCCCTTTAAGAGAAATCACGTCAGGTAAGGAGAACTATTGTGTTTCTCAGGTGAGGCTTTTTAGATAAAAACTCGAGGTGAAACACAGCCTGCTTACAGTGGCTTCTAGCCCAGAGGCAGTTTGAACAGGTTCTGTTACACAAAGGCATAATTCAGGCCGGGCTCCTGAACAAGGGCGCATTGTCTCATTGTCACCGCGTCAGGAGATCTGTTAATGGTTTACACGAACCACGTCCTCCAGTTTAAAGCCATGTGTTCCATTTGGCGGGCGAAAGCAGGAGATCTCTCCTGACCATCTGTGCAGATTGGCCGGACTGAAGGAGCCCTTAAAATCTGGGTGGTGCGCAGGCCATCGCTCCCCTCCCACAACTGTTCATTCTCCACTCTCTGTGTGAAGCTGCAATCAGATTCTCATGTGAGTCTAAGCCTTCAGGGCCCCACAGGGAGCAGAGCAAAGTGGGTAGCTAGGGCCTGAGAGGTAGAGACTCAGCACCCCAGGTCCAGTGATAGAGTAACGCCCTCTCCCACATCCAGGAAGTACTTGCTTCTGTCCCTACTTAGGTGTGACTTTCTTGCTTTTCGAAAGCTGCGATGGATTGTTCTGTCTGTGTTCTCTGCAGATTGCCCAGTGAGGTTCTCAGGTACCGTCACAACGTTGCATTCTTCCTTGACTCTCACGAGACACCCAGGGCATCTTTCCCGGGGACAGGCCCTTTGAGGACATTTCCCCCCAGTTAATCCTCACAAGAATCTGATGAGGTAGGGTCTGTGACAGACGTCGTTGGTGCAGAAGAAGAAGCTTAAAAAAACAGAAATTGGAAAGACTGTCCAAGGTCACCTCCTAACAGCGAGAAGCTCCAGGGTCAGTGCTCAAGGGGAGGGACAGAAACATGAGGGGCCTGGCATCATCACACTTGTCTTTGGTGCCCCCACTGTCCTCCTCCTCATTATTCCAAGGTCCTGGGATGATGAATTGAGGGTGAAAGGTGATTGCGGACACAATGTGTCTCTGAGGTTCTGCAGAACAGTCTCTCTTGACTGGGGAGCTGGGCCCCTGGGGAGTTTCACAGAGAGAAACGACCAAGAATCTTCTCTTTGCAAACACACCATTGTTTTGAGAAAGGCCTATTCTTCCTCATAATTCTCTTTGAGTTTCTATTAAAAGTCAATAACAATCCGTCCCAAGAGCCTCTTTTTTACGGAGCAGCACAGGCCTGTTCTACCAGAGGTCAGTAGTATCAAAGGAACCTTTTCCTCATCTTCTACAGGAAGAGAGTCAGGCCTTTGAAAGGCTAGCCCACTATTCACGGAGGAAGCTTTGTGGAGGACTCCTAAGCCTTTCCCATAATTAGTCACCTCCTTAAAATGCATCTACTCTTTGTGGCCATAACTCACATCATTAAAAGCCAGCGAAGTGATTTTCTAATGAGCCTCTTGGTTCAGAACTAGACATTTATGTGTCCAGAAGAGAATAACATCGTGTGAGCTAAGAAGAAATGGCAAAGTCCTCATTTCTAACTACCTCATCATGTCTTAAGACTCCTAGTACTCCTAGAATTTTGAAAATAAATGCAATGCTTGGGTCAAGCCTGTTTCTTCCCAAACCTTCTATGGGTTAATAAAAATATGAGTTTGTTTGTGTGCAACAGAAATTCAACTTTTTAGTAGTGAAATGGTAAATTCAAAAGTCATTTATTTACTTATTGATGGCAAGAAGCCTAGTTATAACTAGTTCAGAGGGGTACACCCTCTTGACCCAGCCCCTGTTCCAGCTTCTTACCCAAGCCCCTTTTGTGTGTGGCTTTGGAAACTGCTGCTGTCACCCGTCACAGCTGTATTCTGGGTAAGAAGAGAAGGACAAAAGCCACCCAGCCCAGTGCCAGCCAAGTGTGTCTGTGTTCATTAGGCAGGGATTTTCTTCCCCCAAACCTCCTGTTCCATCTCATATTCATTTCTGAGAAAATGTTTAAAAGGGTCAGCATGTTTTAATGGGCAAATTGCTTTTCTACATAATATGGGGGATTCTGTGTCCAGGCAAAGACCAGAAAGGGGTTCTGAAGGGGGGAAAGTTACATCTCAGAGAGCATCTCCTGGGCAAGAGGGATGTGTTAGCTTAATATGCCATCGATACTAAGGCAGAAGTTGGAGTACAGGAGGCAGATGCTGTCTTCTTTTGATGCAAGGCAGCGTTGAAACACTGGACTCTCTGTCGAGAAAAGGAAATAAGTTAGAAATAGAGGATGCCAGTGTTCCTCTCCTCACAGATTTGCTTAGGGTGTCGGCCTCCTTCTAGGATGTGGTTAAGCTTCCTCTGGTCTAGGCTTCTAACCCCAGCCATCACTGACAATCTGCACTGGATGATTCTCCAGTGTGGAGAGTCTCTGTGCTCTGTAGGTTGCTTGTCTTGTCCACTGCCAAAAAGATGCCAGTAGCATTGCCTCCTGCCTAGAGCCGACACAAGCAAAACCAAAGCAGCCCCCGGGCAGTGCTAAGGTGCCCCTGGTTAAAGATCAGTGATTAAGTCTGTTTCGTCCCACTAAGCACTGCTGATGGGACTCAGTCTTTTTCTAGTTTTGAAATGAGAAGGATAGGATTCGCCTATCCAGTATGAACCCCTAGTAAGTGAGCCGGTAGCTGGAGGGTGTCCACACACTGCATTGTATCTGACCTGGGCTCCTACTAAGCTGGCCATGATGGCATCTAGAATAAAGCCATCATATTTAAAGCCAGCACCTCGTGAACAGAATTTACGGGAGTCAGAACAACCTAACAGCAAAGACGCCTAACAAATAAAACATAGGCTGAATAGCTCAATCAAATTTCAGATAACCGTTTGGCCTGGGAAGCCCCTGGAAACCCTAAATGGGAGCAACATGCGTGTTCACACGTTCAATGTGAATAATTCCTGGAATCAGCTTTTCTGGCCAGTTTGCCTGGCTGTTCACATGGTCTAGCAAGCACTTCCTGTAGCTCTTGGTAACTATGCTGGTGGCTGAAAGCTGTGGTCAGACATCCTCACATGTGGCGTCTCTGCTCTTGCCCTGGTTTTGAATCAGGTGATACCAAAGCCATCAGGTTTTCCACCCACAACACCTCCTTTTCAGATCTTGGCTGGAAGGAGGCCCTTACCTTGTCCCTAGGTGGATATCTTAACAGTGGCAGTGACTTACAGGCGCAGCTTCATACTGACCCTTATTTTCTGTGTCTGCATGGCACAGGGAGCATGTGACCTGGGCAGTGAGATACTAGAAAGAAAGAAAAAAAAAAAGCCCACATCATCACCTGAGTCTCAAAGGCCTGAGTACTAGCAGTGAAAAGGTAGGGTCCTTTTCTTCTCCACATGTAACCATGGGAAATCCTACCTAGAGATTCTCAGGCAGGGTTAACAAGCAGTATCCCGTGATGGTTGGGCTGGCTGGTCTGCTATATAGGGAAGCTGCCTGTGATCTGCCTCTCCCAGAAGCCCTGGCATCCCTGTCCCAGGGAGTTGTTGTATTGGGTATCAACCTATGAAGTCTGGTGTAGCCTTAAAGAGGTCTACACCAAGGTTTCCCCAAATTATCTGAACAGAATGCTTAGACATGATCAGTAACGAGTCGAGTAGGGCCCACTTGGGCATTCACTGCTCATGCCAGTAATACAGTAGTAGACATTTGACAAATATTTATTATGTGCACACACCATGCTGGGCCACATGTTTAGGGTAGGAAGCATATGTTGCTTTTTAAATTCTAAAAATGATTATACATATTTAATCATCTGTAATTAGTTTCTCAGCATCTGATTCTCCTTGCCAAAGCCCCTAGAGGACAGGACAATGTGTATCTTGGTCCCTAGTCTTTAGCTGCCTCCCGATTGTTCCGAGTCTGTGGTAGATGGGCTGGGTGGAGGAGTTCAGCAGGGAGTGGTGATGTGCATTTGCCCCTCTGAGAACTTCCCAGCTGGTGCAGTGACCCTTATGGGGCCACAGAACAGGATATGCCCGAGAACACATGGCTTTGACCCCTTGCACCAGAAGTTAGGTGGAAAGGCAAGAAAAATCATACTCAATACGCGGAGCCCAGGATTGAGGCCTGAGCCTGACTCTGGGAAATCATGCTTTGATGAGAGTCTCTTCTTGAGTTCTCTGTTTTGTCTACGTGGGTTAGTGTCTGGGTCTGGGTTGTGCCCTGAGACACCTCAGGTGTGTGGCTCTTTAGGTGCTCACCCGAGGGCAGCGAGCTTTTTTTCTTAAGGAACACGGATGCACCTCTTTAAAACTAAAACTTAGTCTCCCCAAACATGCTTGTGTGGTAGAAATGGCACAGGGGGCTCAAAGTCCCAAGAAGGAACGTCATTTGTCCCAGCCTGTGCCCCAACAGTAAAGTGTGACCCTGGCTTCCGTCAATCCATGTCATTATATGAGAATCCATTTGCCACTGTACTAAAATATGATGAATTATTACCTTAATTTTGCTTCTGAGTTTTTGTATCCTCTGTAACCCATTTCCTTAGAAGGGCTAATCCTTGTTACTTAGTTATTTTTTTGCCTGTTATTTTCTTATACAATTATTATAAAAAAGAAAGAAGATTAAATAAGTTTCTAGTGGTTACTAAACAGCCAGCAACCACAATTCTAGGGTATAGATTCTAGCAACAACACAATATGACAATTAAAAATGTGGAGAACATATTTGATACATGTAAATATATAAAATATAAAATATTTTCAGTTGATCCCCCTTTATTCTATTCAGTATCCCTTATTATATTAAACATGGAAATAGAACCAACTGCTTTATGTGGATTCTTATTCTTCCGTGTTCATGATTTCTCTAACTTTAGGACGTAAAGTGTCCCTGGTAAGGGCACCCTGTACATTGGTCACCTGAGAGACAGAATGAGGCCCGTCATTACACCGGGCAGTTTGAATGTGGGGTTATCTGTCTGTAGAGGCAGACTCGAGACATTTGGTTTATGATTGCTGAGAAGGTCCTATACTGTTGGCTCTCCTTACCCCTGATACCACCACAGCCGGCAGGTCAGCCTTACTGATCTCCAACGCTTCTTCCTTAACTTGATTCTTGGAGAGATCTTGTCTCATGGGAATCTCCTGGTCATTCTAAGGACTTACTAGCAAGAAATCCTTTAAGGTATTCTGTGATGATCAATAGCACACAACAAATACTAACACGTAGGAAGCAATTTCTACCATTTTTCTTTATTGACTTCTGGTCTGTTATTTCTTGTCACTTTCTTACTTTGGGTTTCATGTGCACTTGCATCTCTAGCTTCTTAAGTTGAAGTTTAATTATCAATGTAAAACATTTCTTTTTCCTGCCCTACACATTAGTGTTCTATGTTTCTCTCTGCGTGTTCTTCTAACTGTATTCACAAAACTTGATCAGTTTGTCTTTATTTCAAGTCTTATAAATATTTTCATTTCCCCTGAGCACTTCTCTTGGAGCTCTGGGTGATTTAGACATTCATTGCTTAATTTTCAAATACTTGTGGAATTTCCAAGCTCTCTTTCTGGCCGTGGCTTCTGGTATAATTCTGTCATGCTCAGAGAAAGCACTTCATGTCAGTCAAGTTCAAGTATGGCCCAAAATATGTTTTGCCTTGGTTTACAGACACTTGGAAATAACATGTATTCTGCGCTCACTATGGAGAATATTCTAGTAATGTCAAAAGGGCAAAGTGGCTAGATGCTGTTATTCACATCTTTTTTCTTAACAAATTCTGTGATCCCTTTTGCATTATTTCCCGAGAGAAGAGTGTTTTGTTGTTGTTTGGTTGGTTGGTTTTACTCTTTGTCTTTGACTCTTTTGACTCTTTGCTTTTTGGGAGAGTGGGGTGAACTGAATAAAAATCCAAGTGTCTTTAAGGGATTCAGAAATGTAGGAAACACTAGTGAATACACATTGTGACTTCCCTCGCTTCATCCATGGCCAACCCCACCGGTACATGCACGTGGGGTCTAAATGTGTTTCCCCTATGGGAGAAGGTCGGTGTCAGGTCAGAAGTGAGATGGAACATTGTTCCCTCCTGCCATTCACTTCCAGCCTTTGCATTACAACACACATCATTGGCTCGCCTTGACCCTGACACCACTTTATAGGCTTAATAATAATAAATCTATGTCCTGAAATAGTTTTTGCAGATTACAGCAATCAATCAAAATTCAGGGAACCCAAGACCATTAAAGTCATCAGCAGCCTTGCAGACCCCAGGAATCCATCTACATCAGCCATTACGATGGAAAATAGACCAGGAGAGCTTCGAGTCGGGGGCGTAGATGGGAGGGTAAATTGCAATTCTATTTTTATCAGACATCAAGAGATGATTTTCTTGGGGAGCTCTTGTCTTTTCATAGTAGGAAATGCAACTGGGACTCGGTAATTCCTCTTGCAAATGAGCAACTAGGAGGTTTTTGCTGGCTCTGGGACTGTGCACTTAAATGCTATCTGTTAATAGTCTACAAGCCAATACACAAGGGAGGTCTTTCCACAGTTGCCCCAGTGAGCTAAGTCAAGGTACCATTCTCAGCCTTCTTTGATGATGACCCCAACTGTTCACACATTGCCTTCTATCCTGCTATGTGAGTACCAGGAGGGATACATGCTGCTACATTGTCCCCAACTTCTGACTTACCAATTTACAGTAGAAAAACAAGAACCACTTTGTTTGCCTACCCCTTTCGTTTTAAATCATTTCCACACATACTAAAATGCCTCATCATAGGCCTAAGGACATATGGAAAGTTCGTTATTGACAGCTTTCACTAAGATAAAGAACTTAAGTCAACAGAACTGTGGTCTACTTCGATCACATGTCTCATGCCTCTGCATGCCTCACTTGCTAGCTAAATAGTACTCTGGTCCATGTTCTCAGCCTGTTGGGGTGGCTTCCTCCATTGCTTCATGAGTCTGTTTTTCTGCTCTTTGTATAAGCTGATCAGGTGGTGTCAGATACGATGCTTTTACAGTTCTTCCTCCATCCTGGTTGGGTGCCAAGCATAGTCTAGAACCATCCTGAGTGGCTCATACACATATGTAATGAGGAGCGGACCTGCCTCTATGGCACTGACTGCAGGGAGATTCTCTCTTACAAGTAACCCGTTAAATCTCAATTTGCGGCTCTTCATAACTGCACATCGAAACCCCAGTGATGACAGACACGTTCTGAGAATCTGTGTGTATCATAATCCAAAGCCATAAATGCAGGGACTAATTGTGGGGTTCATGATGGATATCCTTGGACTTGCTGGGTATTTTACCGTCTTCTGTGGCTAAGCTGTCTTTACCAGATAAACCCCATTTCCCTCTTCACCCTCAAAACCTTCCTGTCTTCTGTCCTTCCCTGTGGATTTATAGTAGCAAGGTGTGTGGAAATTTCTAGTCACGAGATGCTTATAGAAGTAAATCATCTCATCTGTCTCCTCACCCCCTTACCCCCTAACCGGCCTCTTGAGGGAGCCTGCAAGCCTTTATGCTTTTTCTGATTGAGGGAAAGATTGATTCCAGGGCAGAGAGCAGTGACCTTGACAATGTCAAATAATTTAATATGCCATTAGGCTCCAGGCCTGACTTTGGGGTTCATTTGCTGTCATTGAGAGCTCTGTTTTCTCTGAACAATATGGCTGTTGAGAAAGACCGGGGAGGTGGCCGTTCATGCAGTCAGCTGCTAAAGGGGTCTTTCGATTTCACTTTTAATAGGAAAATAAAAATCAGCTGCTGTATCAGCAAAAGCTTTTCAGAAAAATCAGGTCATTCTATGGTCCGTGGCTCTTTTATTATGATTGGAATCATGTCACTAGATACACACATAATAAAATGCTGCCTCGTAGGTCTGGGGAAACAGGCAAGAGAATTGGGTTTTCAAAGTTTCACTAAATGTTGCTTTCTTGAGACAACAAACTGTGGGGGGTTTAGGAAGAGAATAGCCATGAAGTTGAAGTTATGATGATTATAGTGATCTTTGTGTTTATGTATGTGTGTGTGTGAGGAGAGAGAGAGAGAGAGAGAGAGAGAGAGAGAGAGAGAGAGAGAGAG